GGAGTCCAGAGGAGGGCCACAAGGATGATGGAGCACCTCTTCTATGAAGACAGGCTGACAGGAAAACAGCTGGGGTTGTTCAGCCTGGAGAAGAAAAAGCTCCAGGGAGAGCTAATAGCAGCCTTCCAATACCTAAAGGGGAGCTACAGAGAAGCTGTGGAGAGACTCTTTATCAGGGAGTGTGGTGAAAGAGCAAGGAGTAATGGCTTTAAACTAAAAGAGAGTCAGTTTAGTTTAGACAGAAGGACGAAATTCTTTACTCTGAGGGTGGTGAGGCACTGGAATGGGTTGTCTAGAGAAGCTGTGGATGTCCCACCCCTGGAAGTGTTCAAGGCCAGGTTGGATGGGGTTTTGAGCAACCTGATCTAATGGAAATTGTCCCTTGCCTTGGCACAGAGGTTGGAACTGGATGACCTTTAATGTCCTTTCCAACCCAAACCATTCTGATTCAATGATAAGAGCACACACAGCTAGTTTAGATGAAAAGTAGGTTTGCATCTTTATGGCTAGCATTGATCTTCATGATTACCAGAAAGCTACTTAGCAAATCTACTAGAAGATCCACAAGTTACCTTTAGCAATACTAGGTCATCATTTTCGTATTTAATTTCTAAAGTATTTATTTATTAAAAAGAAAAAAGAGAAAGCTACACTCAATTTGATATGATGAAAGTTTAAAATCCAAGGGAAATCTTTGGTTTTTATTATCCAAAAGTCAAGTAAGACAAAAAATCTAATCACAATAGTCCATTCTAGTTTTACATAATGTAAAATCATTTTATAACCTTACATCATTGAAAATCTGCACACCATTCACCATACAATCTTTAGCAAATTATAACTACTGTTTGTAGGCACATTTTAAAAAATGAAAGGAATTTAAACATTTTGTACTGCTGCTGAACCAAATATTGATTTTTATTTTTTCTCTTCTTGATATGATAGTTCTTAATTTTTTACTCATCACAGAAACACTACATAATGGAAGTTGAATAAACAGACTTTCTTAAGTTTTACAAGATGGATCCATCTTTGAGAGAGAAGAGAATGAAAGAGAATGAAAACAAAAAGCTTGCATCTTTTCCTAAAGCTAAGACCTTGAAGAGTGGTATAAATCTATCATATTAACTAAAATCTTTACTAACAAGATGTAGGTCAGGAACAAAATGACTGGAGGAAAAAACTGATGAAAACTCATCATCTTGCCTAGTAGGAGAAAAGGAAAGAGAGAGAGGGGGAAAGGGGATAGGGATATGGATAGTCCATTCTACTTTTACATAATGTAAATCATTTTATAACCTTACATCATTGAAAATCTGCACACCATTCACCATACAATCTTTAGCAAATTATAACTACTGTTACAAAACTGAGACATGATTTTGCACTTTGGTTTAAGTTTTTTTTCTGCTGTGGAAATGAGCTTTCATTTAAAATAATATTTCTGAGATAACTTCAGTGTGAGAAATATTTGTGGTTCAGTGAAAAATACAATACAGACATATAGTCTAACCTCAGTTATACAGATTTGTACTAAACAGTGTATAAGAAAAAGGAATCTACCAAGTGCAAAACTAGGTGCTCGAACATTAGTTTGGCAACAGATTAAGGTGTTTTAAATGAGACTAAAGGACAAGTTCTTCCCTAAGGAACAAAATCAACTGGAGAAGAGACAGCTTATTTGTTACTTCAGTCATCAGAAGAGCTCAAAGCGACAGTGGACAAATTATGACAAACTGAAGGACTGATGTCAACACTTCAGTTATTGCTTACAATATGGATTTAGTATTACACATTTTGGGCTCAAAAAAAAAGCACCAGTATTTCTGATAGTTGTTGGTCAGTGTCTGTAAATATTTAACCTGTACTACAGACACTTGGATTGTTGGTTTCCAAATCAAGTACTGTATGAAAAAAAACAAAACAAAACAAAACAAAACAAAACAAAACAAAAAAAAAAAACAAACAAAAAAAACATCATAGACAAACACAGAACAAGCCAATGTCAGCTTTGCAGAACTGGGAAGGAAAAGCAAAATAATAAAACTAAAAGATTGTAACAAAAAACACCATGACTATCTCATTGTCACAGATAACTGTGACTCAGTCACTAAATACGATAGGTTTCTGGTCTCAGTCACTAAATATGATAGGTTTCTGGTCAGAGATTGGACTGTGCACTTAGTCACATGGTCTGAACTTGGGTAGACCTGTGCGGTGTCAAGAGTTGGACTTGATGATCCTTAAGGGTCCCTTCCAACTCAGGATATTCTATGATTCTATGATTCTATGTCTGGAATTACAAACAATCTTCTCACTTCTACCAGCAGAATTCCAAGCTAAGACATTTTTATGATGGTAGAAAGAGACACCTAATGCCATTACAATGGTATCAAGCAAATGGCTCAACAGTATAATACATAAGTTTAAAAGTGCCACCATTAAAAAAATAATAAAAATAAAGTAAAAAAAATAAACACAGAGATGTTCTAAGATTGAAGATTATCTCTTTTCATTGTTGAAAATCATCTCAGTTGTATAAGTCTGAGATAATTTTAAATTATTGCAAAAGAGATAATAAAAAAAAAAAATCAACATTTGCCTAGTCAAAAATGTAAAAAAATGTACAACAAAATTTACTGGATGAAGACAATTTTTGCAGAAAAAAAAAAAAAAAAGAAGAAAAGTAAATTTAAATTCCTTATTTTGAAAAGAAATGAAAAAATACAGAAGTCAAAGCTCATGAAAATTTTACAAATAAAATTGCATCAAAGAAAAGTATCTTCTTGTATTATACCATAAAGTCAGTGGGATGACTTGGTTTCAATATTGTGTCAATATTCTGCTTTCAAATTATCTGCAGGTAGATTTAAAGATGTAATTATTCAGTTTTAAAAGCCTGAATAATTTTGAATATTTTTTTTTCCCTCTGTGAACTACTAAAGGTAAATTTAGCTGAGAATGGCTTCTAATTCTGTATTTAGATTATGCAACTGGTTAAATGAATGCACAAAGTGTAAAGGAGCTACAGATTTCTCTGTGATGCTGTATGGTTTGTTGTGTGTTTTTTTGTTTGTTTGTTTGAATAGATGTTTCTGAAAATTCATTTGACTATAACAGTTTGGTACATTCAGAAGTAATCTAGATAAAAAAATACATTTTATATAAAAGATGGGCACTAAGATAAGATAAGATAAGATGCAAAATTATGTGTCTATCTCCTAATCAGTTCAAGAGTAGGCAGACATCCAGATATCTTTCAATACATTGGCTTAATATCACTTACTTAAAGCTATAAAGGAAGTTTTTGGCAAAGCAGGAAATTAATCTGTAGTCCAGTGTAGCACCACAGATGCTTTTATGTAATCATATATTATGTACATGAAGTGACGATTTTTCAAAGAAACCTACAGAAACTACATCTGATAATGAAATCTGTTATTTTGGAACCAATCTCTTGGGCTCTGACATGTACAAAACTCTGACATGGCAAGCTGTGGAAATGACAAAGTCACTTGCAGCTTCTTTTGTCTTTTATTCTATAGGTCTGATTTGGCACTAATTCATTCTTATGGTTTATCAAAGTGTCTTTATGGAACTCTGACAATACCTTATTGGTCACACATTGTGAAGGCTCCTGGTGCCTTCTGTGCACTTTTGTATCTGGGCTGCAGCAACATTATTTGATGACTGATGTTTCAGTGAAGACTGGTAGGAATGCTGAACAGAGTTGCCTTCAGGGCAAATTGTGTTAATCAAAGTTCATTAACCCTAGAGAATGGGACCTTGAGTCAGCTACAACTATGAGTTGAATATGTCTAGACCTTTTCCTAATTCTGTATGCTCTAAAGAATACTGGAATGCTTCTAAAATGAAATAATAAATAAAATAAAATAAAATAAAATAAAATAAAATAAAATAAAATAAAATAAAATAAAATAAAATAAAATAAAATAAAATAAAATAAAATAAACATAAAGGAAAACTTAGAAAAAAAAAAAGTTGAAGTTAGCAGGTTTGAGAGAATAAAAGTAGAGAAGATGTGTACCTGCTTTAGCTGCCTATCGGGATCTTTCAGGCAGATGTTTGCTCCCAGGCTTAGTTTTACATAACTGTATTACTTTTTGAGCTGAGCTAAACAGTGCTGCAGTTCCCTGTTGTCCCTCAGACAGTCCTTTTCATTAGCTCTAAGGTTTACTGCTCCATTCTGCTGTCAATTCCTCTGCTTGAGCTGCAAGCTTGCAGCTCCATGTTGTGAATTTCCTACTTGCTACATCTCAAAGTTTTTTCATCCTGCTTGACTGCTCAATACAGAAGGGCAAGTCCCCTCTGTTCACAAGTGATACAGTTTACCCAGTCACTCCTCTCTTTAAAAGATACATAATCATGAAAAAGTTAAAAACAAAGAAATAAGAAAGAACAACAACAACAACAACAACAAAGTCAGGGAAACCTGACTGGAAACCTGACTTAGTGGGTGGCCTCCTTGTGTATGGCAGGGGGGTTGGAACTAGATGATCTTTAAGGTCCCTTCCAACCCGAATCATTCTATGATTCTATGATAAGATCTAGGTTGCTCTGAAGTAAAGCTCCACACTTCAAATAACCTTCTTCTCTTTTCTGATGCAATTATCAATGATTTGACTCACTGTTTTGGTAAGCAGCAACTCCTTCCTCCTCAACTCTAAAAAGAGATTTTGTTGATTATTTTAATTTTCTCTTTAAAAGATATGTGTGTTTTGTTTGTGCGTTTGGTTGGTTTTTATCAGTAGCTGCACTGAATCTGCATTTGTTCTTCAGTTTGATGACAGAGAAGAGTCAGTAATATGTATTACAAAGTTAGCTCTGCTCCATGCTGCAGTTACTGAGAATAGTAGCTTATGCTGAAGCATAGAGTTAAACAGCTCACTTGCCCAAGTGATGTATTTTCTTCCTTATTGCAAATCACAGCTGAGAGGTGGATAAAAGACCTTAATTAAGATACATTGGCTATGACTTACCCACAATTAAGATGCTCTCCAGTGTAAGTTCTTTGCTCCTTAAGGTATACAGTTTCTTCTGCTTAAGTTATGTTTCTCTATTCAAGACATCAAATCTTCATATATCTTCAAACACGAGATCTTTTTAGACAGGAACACATAGGAAAACAGCACTAAAATAAGATCAGATATGGTTTCAGTAGAGAAAAATGATCTCAGAGATGTTCATGTAACACTAACTGTGCAGCTGTTTTTACTCTCACTTTCTATGCTGTGATTATTTAAGCTTCTTATATACCATGACATGTATACTGCTTTGAATGAAACGTGATAATCCTTACTATGTTATTTAGAGAATGACTGTGTTGCAGCTATCATATCTCACTAATACTATTTGTCATAATGTGTTCATCTTTTCAGATACTGAATAATTTAATTTGTGCACAGATCTTAAGCTACTTGTTTAAAGCAGTTAGAAGTGCCTGACTCCACAGGAATTTCTGTTGTCCAATAATCATTTCACTGAACAATTAATTTAACTAGCATTTCTAAAGATTTCTAACTAAAAGTCTTGAATGGAGAGATGCATGCTTTCTGTCTTTCCTAGCCTACATGCATTTATTCACTTTTTTGTTTTTGTTTTTTTTTTTTTTTCAGTCTCTTCCATGTACGTCTCCTGTTTTAGGTACTTCCCAGCAATTTTCTTACTATTGCATCTGAGGTATGGACTGATGTACTCCCCCTAGCCCATTCCTGTGATGATCTGATGCTTCACATGGCACCCCAACACATCCTTCTGCCTTACACTCCTGACAGTCATGCTAATTCATACCAGTTATTTTTCAATTTATCTCTTAGCTACTTACATGTATTCCTATCAGAGCCTGGCAATGAGATCCTCAGACTGGGGTACACCATCATGCCTATCAGGTGTGAGATTACAGGAATTCCACAAGTTGCTTGATTTGATTTTGTAACTCCCAGGCAGTACTATATCTCTTTAGATATGTTTTATCTGAAAATAAAACAAAACAAAAAAACAAAAATAATAATAAACTTAATTGTATTGTAAGTGAGATTCTGTGTCCCCTTCTGTCAGTCTCTACCTTGGCTCTATGAGGTGTGTCCCTGCTGCAGGAAAGGTGAACACAAATCACACGGAATCACTGCTCTCCTGAAAGCTTTCTGGTTCCTGTTGCAGATTATTTTTATTTATTTATTTTTATTTAGCATTAGTAACAGAATCCTGAATATCATTACCTTACTTACACCTCTAATGAGGTCTCACCAATGGTGATTCATATTAATCCCTAATGACCACATAAAAATCTATGTATTCAGGGAGGTATTCTGATCACTGCTTAATCATTGTCAATTGGGATACTGGGTTCTCCTTTTTCTACTTTGATCTCTCACTTTACAACAGAAATATTAGTTTTGGCCTTAAATGAAAAGTCCTGAACTAGGAATACTCAATTCATTACTGAAATTCTCAAGGTCACTCAGTTTATTCTTAATACTAAGGCTTTCTGTAATATGATCTTCTGCAAATTTCACCGGAACACTCTAATTTTTTTGTTGAGGTCATTAATTAGAATGTTTCAAAATATCAGTATTGAGATATTTTATTTTTGGAGATCCTGAAGAATGTTTTTCCTACTTCTTTTTCCTTTTGGTGTAACTAAAAGTAATCTGTTCTTAAGCCAGATTCTTGTCCAATTTACATTTCTGGTAATAAATTATTTCATGACATTGAAATGGATGAGTTTTATTATATTTGTTTTCTCCACCCAAAAAAATAAAAATCCATGTATTTCCTGGCTGAATTATCTGTGTTCTCATTTTCAATACCTAAATACCTGAATACCAAGATTTTCATTTGGTCAATAGGAAGTACATATGAATCACCGTTTGTTTTTTTTGGTTTTGTTTTTTTTTTTTTTGGTTCCATCATATTTATTTTTTTTAATGAAATCCTTTTGATTAAGTATTTAAACATTTTTTTTTTCTTTTGCAAGCACCATTTTTTAGCTTGAACATGAAAGTATCCATTTTTTATATAATAGTTACTAATGTCTTATATTTTCACATTTTTCTATGTGACCCATCAGACATAAATAAATAAATAAAACATCAAGAGAATTGGCCATAGAAAAACTTTGGAAGGATGTGTGGTTAAGGAATATAAATAAGTTTCAGAAGGGAGGAAGAGAGAGGAGTGAATAGTTTGCTGACATTCAACTAAACTATAATCATTCTTTTTCCAAAGAGGTAATTGCTATTTACAGGAGTTCTAGGTCATGACACCATCTTGCACCCAACTTAGAAGAAGTACCTGAACAATACAGCACACCATGAGACCTGGGCTGTGAATGAGCAAATCTTCAGGCTTCCTAAAGTGCACTGCATCATTAAAAATAAATCAAAGCCTGTAAAAGTTGACATACTGTAGCTGTTTTCCTCACCTCACCTGCTTTAATTTGACATATTTTCAGAGGAAAGTCACCATTCATTTCATATCTAGACTTGTCAAATCCTTTTCCTTCACTTAATACCAGTGGAGTCAAGATTCTTACCATGGCTTACTGAAAATCTGTAACGAGCAGACAACTGATTGTATATAATTAAGTGGTGGTGGTGGTGGGGGGGGAATAAAGAATATTTAAAGGTTTAAACCAGGAAAACAAACAAAAACAAACAAACAAACAAACAAAAAACACCATTCAAAGCATTAGAATTCCATGTTTAATGGGAAATTAAAAATAATTGATAATTTTCAAAATAGAAATCTAACAGTATTATTAGTGAAAGCTTTGTAAAATCGTGCAGTGTCACAAACAGCAAATATCTGAAAATAACCCATCACCTAATTCTGGTGTGCAGTAAACATTCCTGTAGTAGGTAAAGGAGGTTCAAGAAGCAGGGAAACACAGTTCTATCACCTGTGGGAAAGAAGAGTAACTACTTTTGACAGCTAACTGCAGTCAAGCCCCAGACCCCCAGTTCAGTGCAGGAGGGCAGGTACGCAGCAGCAGTTCCCCTGCGGCCTGTGGAGAGGCCCCTGGAGGAGCAGACTGTCCCCCTGCAGCCCACGGGTCCCACATGGAGCAGATCTCCACGCTGCACCCTGTGGAGGCGCCCCCGGTGGAGCAGGTGGATGTGGCCTGGAGGAGGCTGCAGCCCATGGAGAGCACCTACAGGAGAAGGCCTCAGGCTGGAGCTGCAGCCTATGGAGAGGAGCCCATGCAGGAGCAGGGGGTCTGGCACACATGGGGGACCGATTTTGGAGTAGTGTGTTCCCAAAGTATTGACCTCATGGTACAGACCCATTATTGGAGCAGTTCTTGAAGTTCTATGGGAAGCCCATATAGGATCAATTCGGGAAGAATATTGTCCTGTGGGAAGTACCCCACACTGGAACAAGGGAAGAGAGTGAGAAAGAAGGAGCAGAAGCGAAGAAGTGTTATGGACTGACCGCAATCCCCAGTCCCCTTTGCCACACAGGGGAAGAAGGTAGAAGTGGGAAGATGAGGGGAAGATTTTTTTTATTTTGCTTTCAGTTTCTCACTGTTAAAGTCTGTTAGTGATAGGCAATAAATTATATTAATTGCTCTACACTGGGTCTGTTTTGCCCATGACAGTAAAAGGTGAGTGATCTCCCTGTCCTTATACCCTGGAGCTCCTCTTTTCCATCATATTTTCTTTCCTTCTTCCTTTGAGGAGGGGGATTGAAAGCAGTGTGGTGGAGTTTAGTTGTCCATCAGGGTGAAACATTACAAAAGCTTAGCTGAAAAATGCCTAACCATGCTTCAAAACAGGTTCTATTTTCATGTTCAAATAGTAGTTTTTCAACAGTATATGAAAACGTTACATTTAGATGCACTTTAAGAATATTGGAAGGATAACTTTTTCCTAATTTAGCTTTTTTTTTTTTTTTTTTTTTTTTTTAAGCGATTAAAAATGATAGATTCTGAATAACTTTCAGAGAAACAACCTGAAGGAAGACAGAAAATAAGCAAGGTAAATCTGTCTCCTGAGAGCTATTTTTCTACATATATATATATATATTTTTTTTAAGTAAAAATCCTAAATAATCAGACTAGTGTTCATAAGGAAAAAGATATTAATTCAGATTAAATATATGTGGAACTGTCTGCTCAACCCATGACACTGCTGTGCTTGAAAAAAGAAATCTTGAGTGACAAATTAGGTTTTGTACTAATCTCAGTGTCTACGAAATATATTATTACCGTATGATTTTGACTCTGGTGAAGGTTCAGTCTCAAGCAGTCTCCCTTGTTACTGAATATTTTCATTGTTTTAATAAATTAAGTTATCACTGAGACAAAGTTGGAGAGAGGAATGCTGCTACTCAGCGAGGGCAAAATCCCATGGAGCTATGTGAAACCCATCTGCTCTGTTCAGCCTCCATTCACTGTAGAAAACAGTGAATTAGAACTATAATTTTTTTATGGACCTCACTATGCAGGAAAGCTGCAGGTTTCTAACCATGCTGCAAGTCTCCATTACTACAACCAAAACCTTCAAATCTACATGCTATGAATGAGTTGATTGTCATGACTACCTTTGATCTGCAACCACTGCTTTTATAACAGAGATGACTGATTCATGAAGGACTCCATAACCATATAAGACAGTTTAATAACATGAAATAAGCTCAACTAGAAAAGAGGGAGCAGGTGCCTAGCTCTATCAAGATACAGACACAGCGAGCTTCTTCCTTTGACATCCATTAGATATAATGGCACCAACAAGGACTGCCAGGGTTGAGCAACTCACTTATGAAGAAACTGACTCTCATAATACATTTTAGGAAGAACAGAGGAAACAGACATGGGAAGTACAAAGCTGTAACAAGTACTGAACTGCAAATTTGCTTTATAGGATGGTACTGAGCTTACAGAGTGTGCAACTATATCAGACTGGTTGCCATAATACAGTTTTATTACAGCCACTAGAAACATCCTGATCACAGTAAGTATGGTCAGAACTAAGATCTGCTTACTTGTAAACCTCACGCCAACAAAACTACAACTAGCACTTTACTATCTTCCATCAGTATACTCATATACAGTGTGGACTCAATCCAGTAGTAAGCAGCAATAAATATGAATGCTACATAAAAGATAAAGATATT